GGGACTTGGTGAAGGGGGGAGCCTAGTAAACATAATGTTCCTCATGTAATTGTAGATAAACGATAACAAAAAACAAAAAGTAAGAAAGGTGGGGAAAAAAAGCATTTGCATTAGAAGACCAGCATAAGCCTAATTATTGTGTAAGTTTGAAAAAGATAATTAACCTGTAAAGAGTTGCTGTTCAACTTTTAATTTTATTAAATCTTTTTTTCTTTTTTTTTCAATAGTTCAAGTTTCCAAGTCTCTGAAAGAGCGATTAGGCCAGTCAGCTGGTCCGAACGAGGAGGCAGCAGGTAGGTAAAGCCCGAAGACCCCGATTCTGATATTTTTTCCTTGCCGTTAAGAATCTTTACTTTTTTCTTTGATTTACCTATTGCAGTTAAGTTAGGGTTTGTGTTTTTGGGGTGGGGGCGGGGGTTGTGGTTTGGTTTTGTTCGTTTTCTAAGTATTTGATTACTCTCTGGTATAAATTTTCTTTTTGTACTTAAAAATGGCAAAATGATCATTCATGATAGCATTAGTAGTTAGAAATTAGAAACTACCTAAATATCCAACCAAAAGGAATTCAGTTAAAGTAGTTATATACTAAAATACTATCATGAAAAGTCATGTCCCGAATGATAGTGTTGTAGAAAACTTGCATTGTATTGAGTGAAGAAAAGTTACAGAAGAACATACATCACTTTTGACCTTTTGACCTAGGGCAACATAAGAATTGTGGATGAGTTTATTTTCTTACTATAGAAATTTATTTTCAGGAAGAACATCCATGCATATATGAGGTGATTACAGTTCTGTAAAATAAAAATTATATGCCTAGAAAAACTGTAAAAGTACACCAAAATGTTAACATTGGTTTTTATGTGGGTATTGAGGTTCTAAGTTATTATAATTTTCTTCTTGATATTCTTCCTGTACTCTTAATTTTTAAACTTTTGAAATATGTGTCCACTTTAAAGAATAATAAAATGAACATCCATGAGCATCCATCCAACTTTTGTGTATATTGCTGGTTTCAGTTTGATGCTTTTTAATTTTTGTGTCAACTGTGTTGAAACAAGTTTTGCGTGTGCTTTTCCTTTTTCATTTTATCCTCATTGGATCTGGATATTAATATTTTACCAACATCATAAAAAGGGAGTCTGATGTCACTATTCTTATTATTTTGTAAACAACCTAAATTTATTCTTCAGAAACTTCTGGTATTTCTCTTTCTGTCCCTCTCTGATAATGCTGTGACTTCACCATGGTAGGTCTAAACATGCATCTTTTTGTTCATTCTGTCAGTATTCAGTGGGCCGTTCCAATCTGAGGACTTAACTTGTTTAGTTCTAAAAAACATTCCTCTGATTTCTTTGAGTATGTTCTCTTCACCTTTTTATTTTCTGTTCATGTAATTGTTATTAGACAGGTGTTGGAACTTTTGCATGTATACGCATCACGTGTCTTTTAGCCTCACCTTCATACTTTTCTTCCCGCCGGGTTTTTTTTGCCTCACCTCCTGTGATCTTTGCTTGGCTTTATTTTCTAGATCAAGAATTGATGAACTTTATGTAAAGGGTCAGGCAGTAAGTATTTTAGGCTTTTGTAGTCCATAGTCTCCATCACAGCTACTCAGTTCTTCCATTGTAGTGTGAAGGCTGCCATATGCAGTATGTAAATGAATGAAGTGAATGAGTGTGGCTGTATTCCAGTGAAGCTGGATTTATAAATTTAGATCATGGCCAGATTTAACCCATAGACCGTAGTTTGGCAACCCTGTTCTCCCTTGTCTTTTCTTTAATTACTCAGTTCCTCCTGGATTTATTTTGTCAGTTTTATTTTCCAAGAACTTTGGTGTTTTTGGTCTCTGATTTCACCTTTTTCACAGCCTAATTTCAGGCTGCTTTGGGGTCTCTAATTCGAATCTTTTTTTAAATGTGTTTGTGTGATTTTGTCATCTTCCATCACTTCTCTTTTTTTGTTTGTTTGTTCGTTCTTTTTCCATAGTTTTAAGTACCTGACCTCGGTTTCCTCTGGTTCTAAAGTTCTTTTTCCTAAGCGGCGGTCTCTCCTGACTGGGAGACATGACCTCTGTCTGCCTAAGTGGAGAAGGTATACTAAAAGGCAGCTTGTGTGGGTGGCTGACAGGCTGGAGGCCTGCACAGTCGCCATAGGAGGAAAGTTCCTTTAGTTTAAGAGTCTAACTTTTTTTCCTAGCTTTGCCTTTCATTTTTCCCCCATTATCCTTCTTCTGCCTGGCATTTATTAAAGCCCAAAATTTTCATCCTTCCCCTCTTTCCAGCCCCTACGTACTCACAATGTGCTCCTCTACCTGGCAGCTTCTCTTTTTAGGGAGCATTCTCAGGAGGTAGTCATAACTGCCCCAGCTGTTCCGTAGGCCATCCTTAAATTTCCACCCACTGTTGCTTTTCATAGTACTTTGGCAATTTTCTTTGGCTCTGTTGAGAATAGGTCTCAATCCAGTTTTATCTATTCTGTAGATTCAGACATCTGCTTTCTGTCTCAGAAATTCCTCAACATTTATGTTCTGCCAGTGGCATCCTTATTTCTCATTGCTGTTGTGGATTTTTTTACTTTTAGTGTCTTCTCCATCATTTTGGTGAAATTTTAATAGAGTAGGGAAACAGGCTTTCCAAGTCACCATTCATGTACTTTCTTGGGCTGGTAATCTTGAGATCAGCCCAATGTCCTGAAAAATTTTTATTTTAAAAAATTAAGGAAATAATTCAGTGTTTGGGGGCTTCTGGTGTAACAGGTACTGTACAAAAATACTGCAGATAACTAAATACAGTCTCTGTTCTCATTAAGTGTCCAGGAGTGTTGGAAATACAGTCAGTTACAGCACTGTGTGATCAGAGAAACAAACTGGATTGGAGGGTGTCAGGTTCTAAGTTGAACTCAGTTAAAACTGGGCAGCAAGGGAATGAGACCAGTCGGGGCTGTTGCGTGGACGGGGACAGCACGTTCAGTAGTTCAGCAGTGAGACAACACAGCGTGCTTCAGGCTGTTAACAGACATTTTGTATTCTTGATCTTCAGTTATTAAATAAGTGTGAATAATCTCTAAATCTTTCTATTTTCCACATCACTTCATTATTTCTTCAGCCCTTCAGTAATGAGGATGAGCCTATCTGTCAAGGGTGAAATTTGCTCTTTAGTTTAAGCAGATGTAGAATGATTAATGTATCAGTAAAAATAGCTCTTCAGTGGCCTGCCAGTCTCTGGGCCTTTCCCGTTTTTCTTCTGTCTTGTCTCCTATTTTACCTCCTTTTCGTCCTTTAAATACACCTTAAATATTACTTCTTCTGAAAAGCTTCCCTTAATCAGTTCCTAGACAAAGGTTCTTGCTCTGTGCTCCTATGCAATATTATACAAAGTTGTTACGATTACCATACTTTGTTGTTCCTTAATTACTGATCCGTTAGACTAAACTACATATGGGTAGAAATTGTATTTTACTTACCATTGTATTTTTAGTACAGTGTCTAGCACATGTTTATATCTATGAATGGAAATTTATTGATCTTTTTATTGGTAAGGTTTGTAATGACAAACTTCTCCACCTAGTAAATGGCTTTCAGGTTCCTCAAGAATAAGCTTCTAACTAGAAATCCAGATTGGTGATGTTGCTACCTAGGAGTTTTCCTTGAGGGCTATTACCTGGAACATAACAGCATTCTAAAATTGAGACTGAAACTAATACTGAAATACTTATGGTCATTTTAATTGCCTGCCTAAATGATACCACTCTTTTGACTCTGTCCTGATCCAAGAATAGAGAGATGGTAAGTCTTGAAGAGAGGAACTCCAAATACAGTGACTTGTTTTTCCCCCGTGAAAACAGAGAGAGTTACTAAAGTTGGTGAGATCCATGTGAAGACATTAGAAGAAATCCTTCTTGAAAAAGCTAGTCAAAAACGTGGAGACCTGCAAACCAAACTCAAGACAGAAGGACCTTCCAAAGGCGATGATTCTTCTTTAGGAACAAGAAGCTCCTCCTCCACTGTCCGAATCAAAACCTTCTCTGAGGTCCTGGCGGAAAAGAAGCATCGGCAGCAGGAAGCAGAGAGACAAAAAAGCAAAAAGGATGTAACTTGCGTCACTCTAAAGACTGTTGGGGACATTAAAAAAACAGTGGTTTTGCCACCCATGGTTGTCAGCAAAGGACAATTGGAGGAGCCTGCAGGTAGAACAAAGCCTATCCAGGAGGTGCATATCAAGACGCTGGAGGAAATTAAACTGGAGAAGGCGCTGCGGGTGCAGCAGGGCTCCGAGAGCAGCACCAGCTCCCAGCCTCAGTCTGAGGCCATCCCAGCAGCGCGGCCGTTTCCCCGAATCACAAAAAAAACAGGTAACAGCAGAGTTTGGTCTGTAGTATGTTTCCCCAAATCGTACTCCAAAGGGCAGCGATCCACAGGATATTCTGAAGAGTTCTGTCAGAACTTTTCTTTACTCCGATAACCTGGAAAGCCTCTGGACTAGGTGAAGTTGAGCTGCTGCTTTCCAGCAGCTCTGTACAGACCTTTGATACTGTGCATTTTTTAAACTTAAAGAGGACTAATGGGCTTTATCTATAGTTTTATTTGTCCTATCTTATCATTACTTTTATTAAGAAAACTTGCCCTTAATCTGTTTTTATGAAGGTGTAGTCTAAATGAAATTACCAGGGATGTTTTTAATGTAAATATAGGTATAAAAGAAGAAAAGAGACATCAAGAAGGAAGTGAGGTTGCTTCTCAGAGCAGCGTTACTAGAAAGTGAACAAAGAAAGGCTAGATGAATGGTTAAATGTGCTTTTCCATATTTAGCTTATAATAAATTTCCATTCAACACTTCACTGTTACTTTAAGTGAACAATCTGTCTCTGTAAGTATACCTTTCTATGAGAGTTTTCTATGCAGATACGTAGTATTTTTGTGCACTCTTAAAGTTGTTTTTAATTGGCCATTCCTGTTTTTCAAACTAAGTAATAGCATTCATTGCACAAAATTTGGGGATTTTTATTTTTTTAAAGAATGAAAAATCTATAATTCCACAACCCAGATATAATAACCATTATTTTTTTTTCATGGATTTCCTTCAAGCTTTTTGTTCATATGTACATGTATGTGACTAGTTTAATGTTTAACTCGTGTAGAACATACATGAGAACTCTACAGTGTATCCTTTTGAAGCTTGTGTTAATTTAACCGTATTAATACTTCTTCAGGATGTTTATTTTTACTGGCCATATAATATTCTTTATATCTGTTTCTGGACATTTAGATTTTGTTTTAAATGATTAAGATAATGAACATTTTATATCTAAGTCCTTGTGCAAGTTTCTTATGACTTAGTCACTTATTTGATTTAGGGTCATGATTATATAGCCTATAAACTGGGTTTTTATTATTCCACGTATCTTTATCTTTCATCTTTCGTTTGGCATTTTCCATTTACTATCAAATAAAGAGCAGAAGCTCTTGATTTCTGGATCATGTCAAACTGCTTGATTAGATGTCAGCATGGCAACTGATAAGGTTTTTTTAAAAAATTGAGATAAAATTAGCATAAAACATTAGTTTCAGGTGTTTTTTCTTTTAAACAAGATTTTTTTTAATTGCATTGTAAAGCCTGACAACTTATAAATAATTGTCATATGGGTTGTTAGAGTCACTAAACTTTTAATTCTGTCGTTTAAATGTATCCATAGGCCTCAGATGAAACCACAGGAGTTGGCATCAGTAAACTTCAAGTCAAGAGGTGTGACTCCATGAGAGAGAAGCACACGCAGAAACAGCCAGAGAGGGGCACCTCACAGAAGGAGAAGTCGGTTCTGATGCTCCTGCAGGGAGACGTGGGCTCTTGCAATACTCAGACTGCAGAGAAGCCCGTGCTCGCTGCTGTGCCTGGCATCCCACGGCACCTGACGAAGCGGCTTCGCACAAAGTCGCCGCAGAAGGCGGAGGTGGAAACCTTAAGGAAAGGGGACTCAGCATTGAATGTGAAATGTGCAGCACAGGCCTTGGGAAAAAAGTGTAAAGGTGAGTGATTTCAAAATTGCCAAGTTTCAGTAACTGCCTGGAAAGAATTGCATTGAATTTCGTTTGCCTTGTATAGTGGTCACACAGGTGGATGGTAGTATTTCTGATAATACTATTTATTTAAAAAGACAAAACTAGAGGAGTTTCCTCTCAGAATTTAAATTTGTTCTTTAAAAACCTTTGTCTATGCTTGCTTTAGCGACACACTAAAATTGAAAACAGTACAGAGAACTTTAGTGTGGCCCTTGTGCAAGGTTGATATGCAAATTTGTAAAGCTTTAAAGTCATGGGAAAGTAATGTACAGCATAGTTACTGTAGTTAATAATGCTGTATTGTATATTTGAAAATTGCTGAGAGAGGTCTTAAGAGTTCTCATCAAAAGAAAAATTTTTTGTGACTATATGGTAAAGGGTGGTAACTAGACTTAGTGTGGTGATCGTTTCACAATATATATAAATATAAGATTATGTTGTACACCTGAAATAATGTAATGTCATTATACCTCAGTGAAAAAAAGATTTAAAAAAAAAACTGTCTGAAACTTGCCATGGTGCATCTTTCCTGTGGCCTTGAAGAAAGAAAAACACCAGGGAATAGAAGAAACAGTAGCAAATTCAAGAGCTACTGAAAGGAATGATTTGCATATGCATCTACTTCATTGCCACATGTAGTGCAGATCACTTGTGGATCATTTTCAATCTGTGTGGGTGTGGTATTTCTAGTACTGTGAAGGAATTTGGATTTTCTTGAGCTATTTTCTGTGTAAAAGAGGGATTATTCTAGCTCTTAACCAGATATTTTCTGTCCCTTGTAGCTAAGCCCAAAGTGAATGTGAAGCCATCTGTGGTTAAAGTCGTCTCATCCCCCAGATTGGCCCCAAAACACAAGGCAGTGGAGATGCACCCTGCTGCCGTGGCAGCTGTGAAGCCACTCGGCCCCAGCAGTTTCCTGCAGGAGCGCCCAGCCAAAAGAGCAGCTGTGGTAAGAAGTGGGTCCAACTCCATGGCACTTGAGTCTCTGTGGTGGGATGGACTCCCTGTTTGCTCTCTCTGAGTGTGGCACACTTGCCACTTCTGGTACTGGTTGTTTAGGTTGTTGATATATTTTACATTAACAGTTGGAAATTTGTGGAATAGCAGGATGGGATTTGAAAAGCTGTTTATGGATAGCAAGATGTTTTGCTTATTTATACACAGCAGTTTGATAATTTTTTCTTAGATTCCTTAAATTAGGATGATAGCCATGATTCTAAGAAGATGGCAGAAGAAAATGTATTTGTTCAAATAAAAAAGCCAGACTCTCCCACTGAATTACGTTACTCTTTTGTAGGCTGTTGTCCCCCTCCTCTCTGAGGACAGATCAGTCGCTGTGCCTGCGACAGAAAAACCTAGAGACAGGTAACACCTTGCAATTCCATTATTATTGTGTGTGCTTTCTAGAGAATAACACTGTTAAATAGCTTGCAACACTTATAATTTAGCTACATTTAAATCTGCTAAATTCAAACTAATTGCAAGAAAACACGTGATCCTCAGGGTTGCTGTTCTCCTTTGCTGCCATTGTTTTTTATTTTGCCTGCATTATTTTAAAAATGTTCTAAACTCTGGTCTGAATTGTGATTTAAAGGATGAAAATGCTTTGTCCTAAATAAGTAAAATGATTCTGTTTATGTTATAAGAAATAACTCGGCTCACCCTGAATCTAGCTGGTTCTGCTCACCATTGACAAAGGGCAGTTTTCTAATAATGTTTTGTATCTTTTTCTTACAGTCTTGTGCGGCCTCCAACCCAACCCTCTTCAGATCCCACCCCACCAGAAATATCTGGCCCTTCTTCATCCCATATGGCCGCGAAAACTCGCCGACTTAGCTCTGCCTCAACAGGAAAGCCCCCCCTTTCTGTGGAGGATGATTTTGAGAAATTAATATGGGAGATTTCAGGAGGCAAATTAGAAGCTGAGATTGACCTTGATCCTGGGAAAGATGAAGACGACCTTCTGCTTGAGCTGTCAGAAATGATTGATAGCTGAAGGTGGTGGTAGAGCATTTAAAACAAAAACAATAAAAAACTGGACTTAGTTTCATCAATTACAACATTTACCCAAATGATCATTTCTTTAGTCTAGAATTTGCCCAAGTTGAAAGTGTACCTCTGAATTACCTATATGTGTGCTGGATTCCCTGGGGTCAGATTTTTTTAACTCCCTCGATAACCATTTTGTCCATTTGATGCCATTATTCAGCATCTTAAGAGACAAATGCTCTGTCTCACCCCCCTCTGCAGAAAGACTGAGAGGGGATCCAGGCGAAAGGTGCAAGAGAATTTACTTGTGACCCCCTGAGGTGTTGATCAGTTTGGGTTTTTTTCCCCTTTGCTGTATTATGTCTTTTATGTATTGTCTTAATGTACTTAATGTTGTTAACCTGAATTTGAAAAGGATGAAGACAGCTGCTACCATTAAGGACCAAATTTCACACTACCGCTAAACAAAAAATCCACTCAGTCTGTGTTAAATTGTATGTCTTTTCAAAGGTATTTGGATATTCAACTAAGCTTTAGAGCGGGCTGAGCAGTTCGGGAAGCTTATAATCTGGACATCACTTTGGGGGCCAGATTTTCATGCTTCTGCTGCTCTGTAAGCCTCTGAAGAGCAATAGCTAATTTATTATTACTGTAATTTTTTAAGGCTTTAAAGTGCCTCAGGGGTCCTCTGAAACTAATTTTCTATTTCTGGGATTCCCTGGATTCTTATTAATAAGAGATGGTGACATAATGATTAGAGGAATTCTCTTTTTAGTATGAAAGTTGTCCCTTCTCTTCATACTTGCCTCCTGCTAGCATTGAGTTATCACAGGGATGATAAAAATTCATTAATTTTGCTATTTCTAACTCTCCCAGCAAATAAGGTCCTCTTACCCAGTATTTACTTGGTGCCCTTTACCCACAAGAGGAAGAAAATGACCTCACTCAAGCTGCCAGTATTTATGGACTGTAGCAGTGCCCGGAATCATGCTCTAGTGGACTATTGCGATGCCCTGGAGGTGTATTGTATACCTTCCAGTTTCTTCATTTATGAATTGAATTTTCTTTCTTGATGTCGGTCTCCCTCATACCACCTCAAGGTTTATCAGACTTGTGAGGGAACAAGTATGACGGGGTTACTAGTCTTGAAAGGAGACACATTGTACATAATCAGAAGGAAGAGGAAAGGACGTGCCCCCGTGGGTGTTGCCCTAGGTGGCCGGCTCCATGGACCTCTCACGGGAATCTGACCCACCTGTCCTGTGGGCTCCCGAGGAACTGCTGTTGTAAGCGGCTCATCAAGAGTGGAACGTCACATGGCCTTGTCGGGAATATGGAAAAGGAAGGAAGCCACAGGACTGCCCTGTCTTGGGAAGATCTGGATGATTCTGCACAAGTAAAAATGACTTGAAATTTATGTATAGACACCGTTCTACCGATCCATCTTCAGCTGACTGAATGTTGTATAATATCCCTTCTCCAAAGCAGAGGTGGAATGTTCTGGTTTCATCACAGATTTTCTACTCATTTCGTTTTTGGAATCAGCCTGTAGATTCCAAATCCCTTTTGTATATAACCTTTATGCTTTTCCCTTTTTAAAAGTACTTTTGTTTCATATTTAAAGTCCTTGTATTAGTCAATGATTTATGTTCAACATTATTTGAACCAATTGCCATTACAGAAAGAGAAATACTTATTTGTGTTTTAAATAAAACTGGTGTAGGAAAGTCTTGATGTTGTGAGTTAAGTAGTCGTGTATCACCCTGGCCTGGGGTCTGCCTTGGTAGAGGCCCCAGTCAGAATGTGGTTGGCCTTCTGTGTAAGTGTTGCTGTTTCACAGATAGTATTTGACTTTAGAAGTCTTTCACAAGGACATAGAGCCAGACATACCTACAACTATACTCAGTTTTAACTTTATTTGCTTTAGATAAGAATGAATATTGTATCTGAGGATTTTTTTCCAACACTGATACTTAGTTATTACCATTGTAACTCCAGGGATGCCATTTTTTAAGGAGAGTGGGTTTAGAAATTATCTTAAATCAACAATTGAGAATTTTCAAGCATGAGGGCATATAAAAATTTTACCTGGGAAAGTCCAGGTTTTTCAGTAGTGTGCCACATTTTTGTTAGGGGAATATGTATAAATTTGTTGGATACCAAAGAACACAGATTTTTCTTAATAGTGGTCTAAAAGTAGTCCTAACAAGTTGAAATAACTTTTCATAAAGAACAGGTATTTCATCTTGAGTGATGGTAGTTTTCAGTTGTAACTGTTAAGAAGAGAACCTAAATGTCACAGTTTGGCTGTAGCCAGAAATTTCAAGATTGTTTGCAACTCATAACATTTGTCTCAAATGATCCCTAAAGTTATGACCTTAACCTCAAATTTCAGTGAGTCTTCTCCTTATGTGGCCAGAACATAGTTAATTTTCATTTTGGCCAGTCTTCAAAACCATAGAGATGGGACTGATGTTTAATTACAGCTCAGAAATCAAGCTTCATCTATGTAGACCAAAATTCTATGCTCCTTTTGTGGCTTCATTTTGAGAGACTATTTCTGCAATTCTTTAAAATATTTGATTGCTTTGAATTTGTTTAGCAACAGAAAAGTGGTTTCCAGTTGCTGTTTAATAGGTAAAACTATTTTTTACTAGCTAACATTCATTGAGTACTATGTACCTCTTAATTCACATATTCATTTGACACCACATCCTGCATGGTATTGGAAAATCACTGCCTTTTTTCCCTACTATAATGTCAAAGTCAGTGTGTTTGGATTTAACAATAAGAAAGTATATTCTTACATGCAATTGAGTTTGATTCATTGAGTCAAGAGCTTTTTTTAAAGTCCAATGTTAGAAAACTTGCTCAATAAATCTTTGAAAGTTTCCCACATCCCACATTTGACTCCATTAATCATTTACCCTCCAAACTGTACTTCAATTTATTTGAATTTGCAAAATGGTGTTTGTTAAGGATATGAGCACAAAGAAAATACTTGACCATTTTCTTAACACTGCCCAATAAAATGGGCAAAGAATAAGCAAAGATCCTAAATAAGAACAGCAATCCAGAATTTGATTTTGCTTTTAATGTATTTATTTGGGGTTCACAAGGTGAACTGAGGGCCTATTAATAAACTATATTTTATTGTATTCAACTGCTAAAGTGTTGTGGAGTCTGAGTTGGTGATAAGCAAGAAGCAGTGGATTAAAACTTGACATAGTCTGTCTGGGTGTTTTGGTCTCAGTGACTGAGTTGTCCTCAGGATTAAAGCAACAGCCTATAGTGTCAAAGAGGATAAGCAGAGCCAAGATTTGGGTTCTGAAGAAAGCAGAGAAGGAACAAATACTCAAAAGACTTTTGGCTGTTGAATAAGTGAAATAAGGAATTGGATGGATCAAAAACACGCAAAAGTGGAGAAATCTCAAGGAGTGGGAGGAACAAAATGGAATTCTGAGTATGTGTGTATGGTTAGGTCACTTGGGTCAAGTTAGAAATGGGAGGAAATGAGAAAAACACATTGGGGTAACTGCCATATTCTGGATGCCTGTCACTTGAAGAGGCTCAGGTTAGGACATTATGAATTCTAACAGTCACAAATGTCACGGGCCACTAGGGATAGATGGTCATAAGGGAAATCCCTGCCCTGAAATACTTTTAAAAGTAACCAGGAATTAAGTAGGTGCAAGTATTACGTGGATGACTGATGGGGAATGAGCAAGAAACCAGTTAGTTTGAGACTGGTCAGGAAAGGCTTCCTTGAGGTGTCAGAGCTGGAGTTTTGTGTAGCATAGCAGAGATGATTTGAGTTACAAAACAAGGCCAAAAATGGGCAGATGAAGTTTGTTTTTAGTGACCCCTGACCATCCCATTGGTAATTCTCCCAGCATTTTTGCTTCGTCTTATTCTTGCTCTGTCAACTATTCTAGCCTAAGGTGTAAACAGGTCTTTTTAAAAAATCTATTTTATTTTTTTTTATTAAGGCATCATTGATAAACACTCTTATGAAGGTTTCACATGAGCGACGTTGTGGTTACTACATTCACCCATATTATCAAGTCCCCCCCATACCCCATTGCATGTCACTGTCCATCAGCATAGTAAGAAACCAGTCACTGTGTGTCTTCTCTGCACTACACTGTCTTCCCTGTGACCCCACACGCACCATGTTAAAAACCTATTTCAAATACAAACCTGAGTTTGCTTCATAAAATCCTCCAATGCCTTCTTCCCTCCAAAATTATATTAAAGTCCCTTAACATAACATGTAAAGCCCTGACCTACCAGGCTCTCCTGCCATTCACCCCTTAATTCTCTACCCTCCAGCAAAACCCCTGCTGTCCACTTCGCTTATACCCTCATCTCTGCAGCCTTTCGCCTGTGCCAGTGCTGTCTTTCTTCTACCTAGTCTTTTCTTCTGGCCAACTCCTACAGATTCTGCGACCTCCAGGCTACGTCTTTCAAAACCCAGTTCTCCCTCTCCCCAAACGGGGTTTTGGTGCCTCTCCACTAGACATAAACTGTTTACCCCCATTGTTTTAAAATTGTTTAAATAGTTTTGTTTAAATTGTGTGCAGATACCTGTCCATCTTCCTCAGCAGAGTATAAACTTGAGACACATTCCTACTAACATATATTCTCAGCACCTCTACAGGCCTGGCACCTAGAAGGTGTGTTAGTTTGCCAGGGCTGCCATGAAAAATCCTGCAAGCTGGATGGCTTAAACAACAGGAACCAGTTTTCTCAGTTCTGGAAACTAGAAGCCCAAGATCAAGGAGCTGGCAAGTTTGGCTTCTTCTGAGGCCTCTCTGGTTTGCAGAAGGCCACCTACTCATTATGTCCTTGCATGGTCTTTCCTCTATGCATATGTCTGTATTTCAATCTCTGTAAGGACACCAAACATCTTGGATTAAGACTCACCCATATGACATCATTTAACCTTCATTATCTCTTTTAAGGGTGTACCTCCAAACACAGTCAGAAGTTTGCCACACCGGAGGCTTAGAGCTTCAACATATGAGTGTTGGGAGGTACAGTTACACCCATAACAGAAGGCATTCAATAAATTTGCCGAATGAATGAAAAATTTCTTGACCCATTTCAGGGGCTGCTGATCCTTGCCAGCCTGCCCCTATCTCTTCCCAGCCTTATTTTTTTAACATGCTTCTTATTAATCACAGCCATTCAGCAAGTTGTGAAGCCTCTGGCGGAGCTGGGCGGAACTTCAAGCCGAGAGGAAGCATGTTCGGTAACGGGGAAGTGGAGGTAACTCTTCTCGGTATGTTTCTTTGGACCATTGATCCTTCAGCCTATTTTATAGATACCTTGGGATTGTCATGAACATCTCAAATTTTGTAAGAACATGTAATAAGTTACAATTTTAAAAATGAAACAAATATTTCATAGTACTTTCCAATGTCTAGTTAATGAACTGATTGAATTGGTGATATGTTTCAGAATTCAAAATGTATATAAGGATGTACAGTAAAAACCTTTCCTCCTACTCCTTCCCAAACTACCCAGTTCTCCACAATCAATGCTACCAGTTTCTCAGGCATCCTTCCAGAGACATTTTAGGCGTATATAAGCATACTCCCATACAATATCATGCATAAAACACATATTCTGTACCTTGCTTTTTTAAATAATGAATAGTTACATTTTTATTACAAGTAGTTCTAAATTATGAATTACAAATTCATGACAGATCCTCTTTCATCTATACCCTTACCAGCTATCCTTGTTCTGGCCACCACGGCTGGGATTCGGGTGAGGCCAGCAAGGTGTCTGGGCACACCTTAGGAAGGGTGCTCACTCTCAGGGTTGTGCTGGCAAGTGGGAGTGTGACTCCTTAAGTTCTGCTCCTTAAGCTTGCCCCGTCTGAGATCCAGCTCTGCTGGCTCCACTGGGTATTTTTATGTAAATCTCAGCTATATCATAACTTGCTTTTTCTCTCATTGTATACTGACTGTCATTTCATTTCAGGACACAGCTTCTTCCGTCTTGACTATAGCATAATATTACACTATATGGATATGCAATAATTGAATTAGTCTCTTTGGATTGACGTTTAGGTTGTTCCCTGTTTTAGTATTTTAAACAAAGCTGCAATGATTACATTATATCATATATAAATTTTTCTGCAGGATTAAATACCTAGAAGTGGCATTTAATAATTTACCACTTTTTGATCTATGCCAATCTAATGAGGGAAAATGATCTCTCAGTGTAGTTTAGTTTGCATTTCTTTTATAATGAGTGAAGTCAGGCATCTTTTCCTATGTTAGAAGATCATTGTATTTCCTTTGCTATAAACTCATTGTTCACATCTACTACCAATTTTTATTTGGGGTTTTTGGGTCAGATTAATAATGGGTGCAAATTCTTTTAACACACTTCCTATCAAGAGTTGGGCTCTATTTTTCCAGCCCTTGAATCTGGCCTGGGATGTGAACACTATACTAGTTCCAAGCGTCGCCTTTAAGGGCACTGTTAGCTTCAACCCTGGTTTCTTAGAGCCCTGCGCCCCCATATAAGAAAGCATGCTACTCTGCCAGAGAGAGCATGTATGAGGCCTTGAGGCTACATAGACATGAAGACAAACCCAGCTGAGGCCAGCCTTCCAAATACACACACCAAAGCCTTAAATATATCTTCTGGAGCAGAAAAATGATGCAGCTGAGCCTTGCTCAAATTCTTGGCCCACAAAATCATGAATTATAATAAAGTGGTGATTGTTTTAAGCTAGTAAATTTTGGAATGTTTATTCCAAAATTGAACATTTGAGAACCAGAACAGTTTTTTGTTTTTCTGGTGAAGGGGTGGGGATAGTTCCTTATATGTTAGTAGAATTAACCGTTTGTTTGATGTGGTACAAACATACTTTTCCCAAATCTTCTGACTTTGCTTACTATAGTGGCTTTTATTTTAAGTCATGCAAAACTTTATAATTTTTATGTAATTGAACTTATGACTTTTTTCCTAAAGACTGGCTAGATCATACAATTGAGGAAAGGCAATTTTTAAGAACAAGAAAGATGAAATATCTGTGATTAAATGATAAACTAGAAAGAAGAAATTAAAAACTAAATAAAGCTAAAAACTTAAAAGAATTAAAGGAACTTTTAAACAAATAGAAAGACATCATATACTTAGATTTAAAAAATTCTAAGTTCTGAAATTTAATGTAATCATAGTAAAATAAGTTTTTTAAAATTAGATAAGCTAATTCTAAAGCTTGTAAGAAACATAAACAAGAATAGCTAGGAAATTTCTCCCTAATTCTAATACTACCAAATAAGACATTATAAAGCTACAATACTTTTTACAGTGATAATGGTCCATAAATAGACACAGATTAACTGAATGAAATATATATATGTGCATATATACATATATATATATATGTATATACACAGTACATACACTTGGCATGTTATAAACATGATATTTTAAATTGAATGGGGAACAATGGGTTGTTTTAATGGTGATGGAAAATTGGGTAGCCATCTAGAAATAATAAACTTGTATCAGTTCTAGGATATACTGGGATAAATTCAAGATGGATCAAAGATTTAAATGCTAAAAAATCTTTAGAAAAAAAAAGCAAATCACTTCTGAGTTGTATAATCAAATGATTGGTTATAGGGCTCAATCCCCGAGAGTTTAGGACTCAGGACTTGAGAGATACAGGAAAATGCAGAAACAAGGAGCTAAGCCTCTGTGCATGTGGGATGGGTATACTGATGTGTTCTGTCCATGCTGTCTTTGAATTCAGCAAATCTCGAGTTTCCTCTCTGCACAACCAGAGCCTCTGTTGGGTTTGGGGCAGGGAAATTTTAAGAAATAATTATCCCATGTGTTTTATAGCTCTTATAGTTTAAAAATCACTTTACTATTTTTTGCTCTCAACTTCTTTATCAAGTCGGTGTTAAAATTATCCTCAACAGAAGACCTCAGGCAAGCTCTGATTCTGCCACTTGCCCTAAGTGGTGCCCCCTTAGATGAGTCCCTTCAACTCTGAGCTTGTTCCCTCGTCTATAAAATAGGTATTCCAATTAAGCGCAAGTTCTGCCAAGCCACAAGGCCATGACAGAGCCTCGCAAATCCCTGCTGCTCCTCTTCCGGCTGTTTTACCAAGGAAACGATATGTTGGAACATTGAGGCCTTAACGTTACACTGCTACTTCATTGAATCTTCACCCTCACGAGGAGGAACATTTTAATCTCCGTTTTGTTAACAACTAAGTCGAGACATGGCCAGGTGGAGTAACCTATCCCTTCGTCGTACACCATAAGCGAGCTGGATTTGAGCCCAGCAATCAGATTTCAGGGCTTCCACGCTACATAGCCATGGTCTGTGGCCTCCTTATAATAAATAACTCCCCACAAAGTTGATGAAGTTTGCTTGGTTACCGGAGCAAACCACAGTGTCTGGCTTTGAATTTACGAGGACTGTGGCTGAGAGCGCTAGAGGTGGGAGCCCTAGGCTCAGGCTTCTCGCTGCCCTACCTTCTGCGCTACAACGCTGCTGTCAAGCCTAAATTCCAGGGAAACAGGCCTTAGGTAAAGCGCCAAGGCGACCTATTTCACAGACGGGGGCAGCCACGTGACGATTCCGCGCTGGGCCCACTCAAATGCAGGCGCTGCGGAGTCAGTGCGTCGGCCGCCTGCCCCCGCGGCGCTCCTCCCGCCTTCCTCCAGGTGGCGCTCTAGGACAGGCCCACGTTCCAAAGCGCGATCGCCTCCTTTTGGCCTCCCCCGGGTGCTATGAGGCACCGAGAAAAGCGCTCCCCGTGGCTAGAAAGGCATTTCCCAGAAGCCGCCCAGGTCGCTGCGCGGGCACCATCCACTTCCGCTTCCGGTTCCTCATTCCGGACGTTGGAGGAAGCGTGCGGGGCTGTGTCGTCTTTGTTAGCTTCCACCATGGCGTACCGTGGCCAGGGCCAGAAAGTGCAAAAAGTGATGGTGCAGCCCATCGTATCCTACGTGGGGTGTCAGGACTAGGGGGTTCGGGTCAGAACACGGGGGCGAAGGAGCAGACAGGCCTGACGGAGCGGAGTGCGGAGCCACATCCCGTGGGCCCCCGGGGCCACCGAGACCGGAGAAAGCGCGGGCAGCTGCAGGACCGGTGGGGCGGGAGGCGGGCTCGGGCCGACCCCTGCGGTGGGAGATGCGCGAATGGAGGGGAGGAGCGGAGGGAAGACAGCTGTGACTGGGTACGGGTGGAAGTCGGAGCTGTCGGTCTCCAGAGGGAAGACATCGGCTCCAAGGAAACTCCAGGAGAACAGCGGGAGGGGATTCCTTCCGAGGATTTGGGGGACCCCTAATGTGGTCCCACTGCGCGCTTTTCGTTGCGTACACCCCAGACCTCTCGTTGAGAAAGCAAAGGCGAGGTGTGGGGGTAGGATTGAGCAGTTTTAGGGAGCAGAGTCTGTGCTCTGCGTGTATTTTTTCCTTAACCGCTGGTGCAGAACCTCATCTTCAGATACTTGCAAAATGTACGTAAGTTGTTTGCCGTTTCCTAATTCATTTTTTAAGTAAAAGGTGGATTTGTTTGGTTGTGTCATTTGTCCAGTCACTGTTTTCTAGAGTTAAAAGTAGATGAAACGAGATTGGAGGGGCATTTGAGGGGAAGGGGTGCAGGAAAGCGCCGATATAATAAAATGGTGTGTAGCCACGCCAACCCCCATGCAACAAGAATTGTGCCATTATTACTTTGCAACAGCAAAATTACTAATTTCAAAAAGTAGGTAGTGGTGGACGTGACTAACAGTGGTGCTGGGGTATTGGTACTTTAGTTGGTAGTGATCATGGCCAGAACATTGGAACCTTCTACCCTGCTTCCCCCTAGGTTGAAACACAAGAAGAATCCAGTCAGCGTTTAAACCGTGTCATAGGTAGTGTTTAGTACTTGGGAGAAAGGTTACGTATAGAAAAAAGAAAGAGGGGAGGGATAGATTCAGAGGATTAAGTGGCATTCTCTTTGTTTTGGGAGGAATTTCAGCAGCTCCCGCTTTGAGTTTGCAGGACAGCGTGTTTAAATTACATCTGAAAGAAAATTTAGCTCCTGTTGCTCTGACAGATTTTACTGTGTGACAGCACAGTTGAAAAAAAAAGATTAATTTCAAGCCCCTGTAACTAGAACTGAAGGTTCCTTCCTCCCGTGGTTGTTTGGTATGAGATATGGAAAACTGAGAGCCTAGAGAAAGCTGTTTCAGACCTGGATTTTACTGTAGCAGATCAGAAAGATGCCCTTGGTCATTAGAAATGTCTGTGTTTGCATATTGTCACAAATTTTCCCTCTGAATATATTGAGACTAGAAGCAGTAAGAAATAGTTGAGTCCTAAGAACGCAGGACAGTTATTAACTTACTCCCAATATAGCATTTATTAAGTGGGAATTTTTCTTGTCAAGGAGCTAGTGTTGGTTGTCAATTCTAGATACGAGTCAAGGGGTTAAAATTCTTGGCTTTTATTAAAGTTTTTCTTAGGAGCCGTATTTCTCTTTTGTTTGACCGAAATGATTTTGTTTACTTATTTAACATTTCTTTGTGATTATTTCAGAGATCTCGGATTCAGGTGTGGCTTTATGAGCAAGTGAATATGCGGATAGAGGGCTGTATCATTGTGAGTACCCAGGGTATTTTCCTTCAGAGCAGTTCGTTCGTAAGAAAAGACTTCACAAAAAATGTCCAGCCAGAGCAATGTCCAAAAAAATCAACGACCCCAACCTCAGGACAGTTTATCAGGGCCCGCGGTCCTTGCCTTGCTGTTCTATTTCGTAGGAATTGGGTAGTTTATGAAAGAGAGGCAAAATTCATTGTTAAAAATTATTTGAACAACAATGGTAGTGTTTGAAGGAGGGGACCACAGAAATAAACTTAGAGGGGAGTGAGAATCAATAGAGCATTAGATCTGGATAAGGTGTTACCTGAATGGAGCTGGATCGGGTTAGTTAAAGACTTCCAGGATGGCAGAATATCCTGTATAATGTTTTCAAGAAAGGCTGAGTATTATATATAGCACGACATTGCATTCCCTTTAGATGTAGCTCCATGAGTAATCTTCCTTTCCATCCTTTTTGGAAAACAAGTGCAGTTAGTGGTGGTGATGTTTTGTAAGTAGTAAATTCATATATGTGCACACATACTCTCTTGGGCAGGCTATAAAAGTTAGGAAGAATGCCTCTGGCATAGCTAATGAAATCTTAAGTCCAAAAGGTTCCAGAAGTACTTTGGAGTACATTCTGGCTTTCTTTGTTGTTTAAAAGGAGGCTTAGGGTGGGAGGTAGTATTTTAGTTGAAAGATCAGTAAAGTGATGAGTTTCTGGTTAGTTGGCATTTCTGTATATTCATTTAGAATGGTTTGGATGTGATCTTTCTTGAAGATGACAGTTAATTGGCTTGCTTTTCTAGGGTTTTGATGAATACATGAACCTCGTATTAGATGATGCAGAAGAGATTCATTCTAAAACAAAGTCAAGAAAACAGCTGGGTAAGAATATAGATGGCCTTACAGAATTCTGGAATTTTTTATTCACCTGCAGAACTGAAATAACTTGCAATTCAGTACCTCCTTAAATTTAGTGTGCATTTGAAAATTTATTATTTAGAGTAATACACTCTTGAAATTATCCTCTGCTTATTCTTTACCCCACTCCCACTTCTGCTACTCTCTCTCCACTCAAGGCAGTGCTCACCAAAGTCATTAAAGATAATAGTCTTAACAATCTAATAGCCAATATTAGTCATTTTTATTGAATACCAAACAGCATTTGACACTGTTGGCCATTCCTTAAAACATTTTGTTCCCCTGGCTCTATATTATGGTTTTCATTTTTCATTTGTAGTTACTCCTTTTCAGACTTGTGTATATTCATTCTTTGGGACCCAGCCATTAGATGTTTGAGGTGCTTACGGTTTGGTTGTAGGCGCTCCTGCCACTGAGTATTATTTTCCTAGGCACTCAAGACTACACCTTCACTTACCATCTGTTAACTCCCAAATTTTCGTCTGTAGCCCGGTACCTCTCTGAGCCTGTTGTATTCAACATTTCTATTTGAATATCTCAAAGTCTTCTCAAAGTTAGCGTATCAGAAATAAAATTCAACCCTTACCCTTCACACACTTAGAGATATTTAAGTGTCCCTGCCTTACTGAACGGCACCAAGTTTCATTTATCATTTACGAATTGATTTCTCTGCAGCTACCTCATTCCCCTGTAGCTTGCTCTGCAGGCTGCAGTCGTCTTTTAAAAACACCAATGTGCCTTCATCCCTTTGCTTGAAATCCTTCAGTGGCTTCCTGTTGCTTATAGAATAAGAAAACCTTTTAATACATTCTGCAAGGGTTCTTCATGATCTGGCCTTATCTCCCTTTGCTTGTTTTGTATCACACTGCTTCATTCATACTTGTATTCTTCCCATTCTTTGAATCTGCATAATTGCCCTGCCATTAATAGGGCATTGTAATATAATCTTTTTATATGCTGTTCTGTGTGTTTTGAGGACTCAGATAAAATAAATATCACATGCTCCCAGGGTTTGGTTTTGTTTTGCTTGGGGTGGAAACAGAGGGAAGCAGAGTGTTCTGTGTTCTCTGAATTTGTAGTAAGACATTAATTAGTGGGATGATTTGCTTAGTGTCTCTCCCACATGCTCCAATAAATGCGTGAGTCCTTTTTTGCTCCCTAATATGCTCAGTGCCTACCACGTAGTAGAAACTCAAAAATATTGGAAGATCATTCTTCCAATCTGTTAACCCAGTTAACAAATGGTCTTTAATATTCATGGCTTTATCAAGACAAACTGAACCATTTCTGTTAACATCTCATTAATTTGAGATTCATTTAGGTACTTTGTCTCTTAATTGTTTAATGCTCCAGTCCACAGCTCACTAGTACTTTCATCAGTATGGGGCTTCAGGGGTCTCTCTTTCCAGACCCTGTGGGTTCACTTGGGCCTGTACTAGACTTGTAGAAAGTAGATTCTGATCAGTGGTATGTGTCGTTATGCTTATCTCCACTTAGGATATTTTTCTGAAAGCCTGGATTTTTAAAATTTATATACATGTCTTGCCAGGAAAAGCAAGCTAGACTTAAATTATTAAAAATTATTTAGCCTTATATTATTAAAAATGATTTGAAAAGTGTTGAATTCCCGTGACAGTGCCCATCCTGTAGAGTAGCATAGACTACCTGTTGTGGAGGCCTGGGAAAGTGAAACCATGTAGTCGCTGTTGGGTTCATTAGTATTTCTCAAACTCCTTTACTGTACACCAGTGTTTCTGAAGATACTTAGATATTTCTCAGGAAAAAAGTACTCTCTGTTCAAATAAATTTAGGACCTGTTGGGTAAAATTTAAACAGGTTTCTTTACTGCAGGATGAAGTTTTTTATATACTAAGAGCCCTAAGATTGTGGTTGTAGAATACTGCATTTCCTAAACTTAACATACAGCTTATTTCCCAACTTCTGCAAATTTAGATCGTTGGAAAAAGTTGGGGTAGACCTATTCAGTTGACTTAGTCTGCACAGAAACTGTATTTTCATAATACATTTCTCTACCTTCATTAGGTTATTGTTGGAAAAGTGCATATATTCTAAAATACAGAGCCCTTTCAATATGTGGATATTTGAAAATGTTCACATACCTTCACAAAAGGGAAAATATTTTCAAAACTGCTCAAGAACTATCCAAAATTCTGAGGCTAAAAGGTGGTTACACAGTTGTCTGAGTGGCTATTAATAGCTTTTTCTTCCCTTTAACTTTGTTGCAGGTCGGATCATGCTAAAAGGAGATAATATTACCCTGCTCCAAAGTGTCTCCAACTAGAAAGGATGAGTGAAGTGAGGAACTGCTGGGAAGGCAATACAGTTCGTTTTTTTAGGTGTCCTTTGTTGGGAGTGTAGTTCTAAGAGATGTGCTCATATTGTTTTAATTGCTTTTATGTTATTACCAGATGGCAATAAACGCTGTGGGATTGTTTTTATTAAAAAATTTACATTGTTTCTTATGTTCAGTGGGAGAGACCTTTTACAAAATGACACTATTAGCTGTTGGTATTTAAAGTTTCCTGAAGGGCGGCAGTTGCCCTGGGCATTTGCTTTTCACAGAGCCTTGAATCTGTAATTCTTAAGGCAAGGAGTAGGCATTCTGCCTGACAGGTAAGCTTCTGATTGGGTGATAGAGGAGAAGAGGGTTCATAAAACTAAAAATTATTGCCATAACATATGCCTTTATCATCAATTCTAGTTTTGGATGCTGAAATGTTAGAGTTTCTAACCACAATGGGTTGGGGACATTAAAATAGCATCAGTATTTGCTTAGCACTCTCAGAGTCACCCTGGGTGGTCTTTGTGAATTCTTTTATCACTGAGATTAAGGTGTGAGAAGTACTTGTGGATAGAATGAAGTACCTTAAAAGTACATTAAAAATGAGCTATGCTCATCTTACAATGGTGATGGACAGTGTGGGGGGACTTGATAATATGGGTGAATGTTGTAAAAACCTTCATAAGGTTGTGTATCAGTGATAGCTTACTACTACTAATAATAAAAGGAGCAATGCTAAGAATTAACAGGAGGGAAGCTTCATGAGATTGGTAATCTGAAGAAGGCCACAAACTGCTGGTAAATTATAGGCAGAATAATTGGTTAGTTGGAGAAACACCTGTATCTTTCTTACCTCTAAGAATTTCGGTTCCTCCCTCAGTAAATCCTTATTTCCTAATTGAATTATGTAGATAAATCTCTCCCCGTCACAGGGTGATTCTAGTTGGAATTCTATTAAACGGTATTAAGCATCTGATGTTAGATAGGCACAAAGTTGAATAACTGCAGTGAACAGACTGGCAAACAGCCTCAGTACCATGTGTTAAGTGCTATTTAAATTGTATCTTGAAAGAGAAGTAAGGCCTGCCTTAAATTCTTGTCAAGGGCAGTATTATTAAGGGTGGGTGAGGAAGGACCAAGAAGTGGTCCTTGCTTTTCCTAAGTGCATGTTGGGGAGATACAGAGCCTTTTCTTGAATAAAAGAAACCTTTTGTGAGGGGAGATTTGTAGGTGAATGTAGACATCTGTCCTGCTCAGAATTTGTCATTCTAGCTGCTTGTCTCCGATCTGAACTTGGGCCTTTTTGGTCATATCTTGAAGTAAAGAGTTTCTTTAGCTCTTAGACAACATTTGAGTTTCACATTAATTTAACCGATTCCAGCATGCGAAGAAGACATTGGGCAGCAGAGGGAGTTACAGCCCTGAGACTGCTCCAGCCTTTTGAGTGAAATCTTTTTCAGAGCAGAGCAAAGACCTCCCTGCAGCTTTCTTGGCACCAGAATAAACTAGGAAGCAGAATAAAAGCTGGAGCCGTATAATCCCTAAGAAAACCTGCTGGCCTCTGTTCCCATTTCCTGTGTGGCCTTTTTGCCCCGGCTGCCGTGTGTGAGCAAAGCTGTGCCTGCGGTGGCTTATTCTGAATGGATCAGGACATGGACAGTTCTATTTTTGACAGAGCAAATGGTGATAGAAATAAGGTACAGTGAACTCTTACAATTGAGCTCTGTATTTAGAAATCTCTGCTTGCTTTCCTGCTCTACTGGAACCTGTGGTGTTTGCTTTTTAAGTTGTACTTTTCCACGATCTAGATCTAAGCAGAATTCGTATTGTAGGAGGCGTTGCTCTCTGCTTCATTAAGGTTATTAAAACATGCTGTTGGGAAGCTGCTCTTGTTGGCAGCTCTTGATATGTGAGCAATTATTTTTCTGGAATGGTTCTTGGTTTCTGAGGGGGTTTTGCTTCTAACCACCCACCGACCCTCCTGTAACATTGTGAACGTGAGGGTGGAGGAGAATCAGGCTCTGAAAAAGTAGTGCTGATGTAGGTCTGGTGTTCTCAGTGGTAGGTAGAAAGGAGGATAAGAATAGTTATTTATTTCTAATGATAAAAATGAAACATATATTGTAGAAATGTTGGAATATTCAGAAAGGAAGTAGCAGAGAATCTTTTTTAAGGTATTATTGATACATACTCTTATGAATGTTTCACATGAAAAACGATGTGGTTACTACATTCACCCATATTATCAAGTCCCCGCCCATTGCAGTCACTGCCCATCAGGGTAGTAAGATGCCACAGATTTACTGTTTGCCTTCTGTGTGCTACACTGTCTTCCCCATAATCCCCACACCATGTGTACTAAACGTAATACCCCTCAATCCCCTTCTCCCTCCATCCCTACCTTCTTTCCCCCACCCCTACCCTTTGGTAACTGCTAGTGAAAGTGGCAGAGAATTTATATCTCAGATAATCCTGAGATTTAACAACATTTATTGTTTTAATTTGTAGTATAGTTGATATACAATATACTGGTTTCAAGAACACAACATAGTGATCTGATAGTTATCTACATTACTAAATGCTTGCCCCAGTAAGTGTAGTTACTGTCTGTCAACATAGAAGATACTAGAGTATTGACTATATTCTCTATGTTGTGCTTTAATCCCTGTGATTCATTTATATTATAATTGAAATTTTGTGCCTCTTTATCCCTTTCTCTTACTTTACCCACCCACCCGAACACCCCTCCCCATGGTATCCACCAGTCTCTTCTCTGTGTCTATAAATCTAGTTCTGTTTTGTTTGTTTTGGGTTTTTTGTTATTTTTTTAGATTCCACATACAAGTGAAATCATGTGGCATTTGTCTTTTTCTGCCTGACTTATTTATTTTACTTAGCATAATATGCTCTAGGTCCATCCATGTTCTTGCAAATGGCAAGATTTCTTTTTTGTGATTGTATGATACTCCCTTGCGTATATGTACTCCTTTGTCCATTCATCTATTTGATGGACACTTTGGTTGCTTCCATATCTTGGTTGTTGTAAATGATGTAGCAGTAAACAAAGGAGTGCATGTAATTTTTAGAATCAGTGATTTTTTTTTTCCCAGGTAAATTCTCAGAAGTGGAATTGCTGGGTTGTATTTCTTTTTTGTTTCTTTCTTTCTTTTTTTTTGAAGAACCTCCATATTGCTTCCCACAATGGCTGGATCAATTTACCTTCCCACCAGCAGTGTAGGAAGGTTCCATTTTCTCCACGTCCTGTCCAACACTTGTTTTTTCTAGTCTGGATAGTAACTATTCTGATGGTTCTGAGGAGATAATAACCTCGTTGTGATCTTGATTTGTGGTCCCCTAATTAGTGATGTTGAGCATCTTTTTATGTACCTGTTGGCCCAATGGAAAAATGTTCAGATCCTCTGCCCATTTTTAATTGGGTTATTTGTTTTTGTGTTGTTGTTTATCTGGGTGTTAACCCCTTATGAAATATATCATTTGCAGATACATTGTATTTTCTTTTTGTTGATGGTTTCCTTTGTTGTGCAAAAGTTTTTCAGTTTGTTGTAGTCCCACTTGTTTATTTTTGCTTTTATTTCCTTGTCTGGGGAGATGTATCCAGAAAAAAGTTGCTCATGCTGCTGGTTCAAGATTCCTGCCTGTGTTTTCTTCCAAGAGTTTATCGTTTCATGTCTTAAATTTAGGCCTTTGATCCATTTTGAGTTTACTTTTGTGTACTGCATAAGACAGTGATTCACTTTCATTCTTTTGCATATCCAGTTTTCCCCAACACCATTTATTGAAGAAACTATCTTTTCCCATTGTATATTCTTGCCTCCTGTGTCATATTATTTTACCATATTTGTATGGGTTTATTTCTGGGCTCTCTATTGATCCATGTATATCTTTTCTTGTGTCTGTACTATACTGTTTTAATCACTGTAGCTTTGTAGTATCACTTGAAATCAGGATGTGTGATGCCCCCAGCTTTGTTCTTCTTTCACAAGATTGCTTTGGCTATTCAGGCTCTTTTGTGATTTCATATAGATTTTAGGATTATTCACCGTAGTTCATTGAAAAATGCCATTGATAGTTTGATAGGGTTGCATTGAATCTGTAAATTACTTTGAGCAGGATGGTGGTTTTCACAATATTAATTTCTCCAATCCATGAGCATAGGCCATTTATTTGTGTCTTCAGTTTCTTTCATCAGTGTCTCATAGTTTTCAGAGTATAGGTCTTTCACCTTCTTAGTTAGGTTTATTCCTAGGTATTTTATTCTTTTGATACAATTGTAAATGGAATTATTTTTTTGATTTCTTTTCCTGCTAGTTCATTATTAGTGTATA